ATGCCAACATCAGCACCTCACACATTTCTGAAAAGCTGTCATGTGTTAGAAGGAATCTGACTTCTCTCTAAAATCTCCACGGTTTCATTTCACATATATAGTCTTAACCTCATCATTCTGTTTGTTCATATATCTTATTGAGATAATTTGATAATTGGAATCCATGTTTGTCTTAATTGTGATTTCAGATTGATCACTGCATTATTGCAGCTTCAATTAGCTTGCTGATGTTGTAGTAAATTATAGCTCATTCACTTCCTTAAGTTCATATTTGCTTGCTTATCACGTTCAGGGAAATCCAAAGCAAGCTAATAGAATTGGATAATCCTGTCAAAGCACAATGTGAAGCACAAAGTGGAAGGTATAAGAAACCTCAAGAAAAAAACTGCAGCTGTATCCCTTCAGTACTGGGTTTTCTCACATTTGTTATTTCTTTGGAATGTAATGCCACACAACCTTTACAATGCTTCCTTCCAAATATCCACCAGCCTTGACTTTAAGGAAGCCTGCAATATCTTTCTAACACAGGCAGTTTTATTTTGTTATTTAAATACTTTGTCTTTATACACTTCATTGTGTGTAATTCTCATAGCCTCTATTAAAATCTGTTGAGAATTTTTAGCCAGAAATTTTGAAACCTTACAACACATCATTTTCAAGGTCCTGCTATTTAAAAGAATAATTGACTTTTTCTGCTGTGTTTAGGCTTTTGTGTGAATGGTTCTTACAGATTTACCTTAGAGTGAATTTTTGTTACCAGTATAAAGGACTCACATGATGATGCAAGGCTTCATGCGCCAAAATATTGATTTTTCTCCTCCTTGATCCAGAAAGATTGCTTTGGATCATAATGATAATTCAACTGCTCTGGGCCTTGGTTTCTCTTTTCAGATTGTACCCAAACAACCAACATTTATTTTGCTGGGGTTTTTAAGTTTGTGTTTTGGTTTTTTTTTTTCTTTTTAATAAAGAACAGTGATACAGTTTTGTTAGTGTATATTTTTCAGCTCTGTGCCTCTTTCAGGAATAACCTGAATTAGGTATTTGTGTTTATTCTGCTATCCAAATATTGATTGAAAGGAGCTGGTAAAACAGTCCCAAATCTGTCCACTTGAGGGCTATTTAGCAATCATTCAAACACATACAGTTGAGTAATTAAGTCGTACAGTACAGATTTTCCTTGGTAGCCTTAAACTTGGATCAGTAAACACTGCAAATCTCTTCTACCTTACATCACTAGACAGTTTGAAGTGTTTTGCAACCCAGCTGATGAGCCAGCAGCAAACCCCTTCTCCCTACCTGAGCAGACAGCAGAGCTACACTTGCCAAGCCCTAAATCTGTGCTGGCATGTCAAAGACATTCCCTGTCACATGTGATGGCCCTGATGCACAAAGCACAGGGCAGTGTCCCAGGCGTAATCTTTTCTACTTACCGGTTCATGGCCACCCATCAGGAAATTCAATTTGTCTGCTCTCGTTTAATACCAGCTCATTACATCTCTTTTCCATTATTTTCATAAGGATAGCAATGTATTTAAATGTATTATCCTCCAAGGAATACCAAAAGATCTTTCTTTTACATGTAAACTGATTGCACAGTCTGCTGTCTTTTGACTCTCTTTATGTCTGTAGATTAACTTCCAGTTAATCTGAGTTTGTTGTTTTTAACGACTTACAACTGAAAAAAAGATTATTTTCCTGGAACTTCAGTTGACATATTTTGCAGTTGCAAGGCAAATTTAGGGAAGGCCTGAGGGATCACAGGCAGCCTTCATTATTGGTGCATGACCGCTTTGTAGCCAACTGCATCTTTAATATCCGGGGAGATTTGTGCACTACAGTTTGTTTTCTTTCTTCTTGTTTTTAATAATTTACCTTTGAGAGTCTATTTACAACCATGTCGATGTGTGAATATGTTTGTCTGTCAAAACTTAAGATATGTACAGAATGCAAGAGATGCATTAATTTTTTATTTGCTTCTTAAGGAAGCCAAGCTGTAAACTGGCAGTCCTGAGTGCAAGAGCTGTACTTCAGTGAATCCTAATAAACACAAGGGGGAACATCAGACTATGTGCCTCTTCAACTAACTCATTTAAAAAGAGATAATATTCCTTGCTGAATCTATTTCTCTGCTAGGAGAGACAGTAATTTGGTTTTGTTTTTATTATAACAACAAAACCCCACAATCAAACTTTCTATAACTTTTAATTTGCTATTGAATTAGCAAAACTGCATGGCCTTCTGCACCAACCAAAAAAATGGAGGGTTGTGAACAGCGCATCAAAAAAAGGGGTTGTATGCATTTAAGTGTTTCTATCTGTGGAGATTCACTTGAAAATTATTTTTTGCATACACTTACATGTTATGAAAAGACAGTATCTGGATGAATGCTTTTCAAATGTTTTCCAAAGCTGTTGGGAAGGCTTTTATTCTTACCCGTGGATAGCTTCTTGCTCTGTGACATTTGTCTGATTTGTAACTGTTAGATTGGTTTAGTTTTATCCTTTAATTAGGGAATAAATCTAGTTGTGTAATAAAGACCTATGAACAGTAGTAAGTACTTTGTCACTGTTGAGCTACATTGCAGGAACAAAATTGCTAATTTCCCCCCACCCTTTAAAAGCAATGTGGGTTACAGAGCTATTTTTTTCAGTATTCAAACTGATCTCTATCTTTTGAGGTCATTTAGCCTACAAACCTACACAAAAAGGATATCACTGGCATTTGATACTGAAAAAAATAATTAGGTAATCTGAAATACCACTGTTCTGTATTAAAAGGAATCCACTGAAACTCAGGAGTTTGGAAGAGAAAAGATATAGAGTAGCAAAAATCCATGCCAAAAGAAAAAGAGATGAAAGCATGAGATGATGTCCAGATCTCTTTTAACTTTACTTAATGCTTAACTTCAGATTGGTGGGGCCCAAATAACACTGTTTTAAGGCAAAGGCAGAATCATGTCCCATTTGTATTAAATATTACTTGACTTAGCCGCAGTCTGGAGGTCTAAAGAAAGAGGAAATACTTAACAATAAAGTATTCAAAGACACATGAGAAAGAAAAATAACCCTTTACAGTGAAACTGTAGAAAATGAAAATTAGAGGATTGGTGGTATAATCCAGGCAGAGCAAATGCTGCAGAAACCACTGTACACCTGAGTCAAAATTCTCTTTGCATTTATTTACAGTCATCTCCAATCAACTCTGAGAAGCTATGATAAAATCTGTTAGCAATATTAATTCAGATATAAAGTATATTCATAAATATAGATGAATATAGATTTTATTTTGCTTTCAGCACATAACTTGAAAACCAGTGGGAGTATGTTTTTTACCAATTATTTTTTCCAGCTTTCAATACATAAGTAAATGATATAAGAAATAAGAAATGGTCAAGAGTCCAACTGTGCCTGGTGGAGAGTAATAGCAAATAAGTACATTCCAGGTGGTAGATGGGTGTAAATGGATAAACACTCTCACACAGAGTTATCACTATATTGTTATCTTACTATTCTTCAAGAAGATTGGACCTTTATTTTGAATGACTTTTTTTTTTTAATTATCCTTGATATCCAGTGTATTTTATGAACTGCAGACTGCATTTTGACAGAACTTGTACAGCCTGACTCAGAGTGAATTTCCAGATACAATGAATTTAGAGCTTGTTGAGTTTAGCCTGCTGTAGTGTTCCTGTTAAAAAATGTGACAGAATCTATGATCTAATCATATTATGTCAATGGCTAGTGGGCTACTAGTGCAGCCATGACATTTCATATTTGCTTTCTTTCATAAGATTGTGGGCATTTACTTCCATTACAGTCTGTGAAGTTGCAGTAAAATGAAATCTCTGTCAAGTGTGATTGAATGTGCAGAGACAGAATGTCCAAAATCAAAAGGGATAAAACATTGATTTTGTCCTTTAATTCTCTTTTCTCTTTTCTGAAAGAAAAGGAGTTTCTTGGTGCAGTTGGTTCTCTGATGGTGCAGTGAATGCAGTTCTTGGTCTAATTTTCAAGTTGGGCCACAAGTACCATCATTGCAAACTGTGGTATCAGTGTCAGCAGTGAAAGAAGGAGTGAAATGTAGGATTTTACCTTAGTAAACTCTTGAAATGGCAAAGGCACACTAAAACATGGTGCCTGCCCCAAACTTAGGGAAACTTTATTTGTGGAATAACAAGTTATATATTGTCTTGGATATTTACAAAAACATCCACAAGGAAATCATCTTCATTGTTTGTGTTTGGGATCATGTATGTTTTTTTCTGGTTTTTAGAGCATGATCACATTGCCTAGGGAATAAAGCAAACATTGACCTCCTTTGGAAAAGGAGGATGTTTTCCAGATCAGATGCAGGCAAGATCATGGGAAGTAGTTGGTTGCCTTTTTTTGTTTGTTTGTTTGTTTGTTTGTTTTAATCTACATTTTTTAAATCAACATTATACATTTGTAGTTCTTAATTTTCTAGTTTGTATAACCTGTTGACTCAGAGACTTTAGGGTTGTAATATATAAATACAACTGTTTTCCATTTCTTTGAGTGTGTTTTACGTATTTAAGTGATCCAGACTGGGTATTTAAACAAAAATTTTTGATGAATTGTAACTTAAATTCTAGCAACTTTCAATTACTTGTAGTTGAAGTACATTACAGTGAAAACTTGGCTTAACCCCTACTCATTCCTCCTAGCATCAGGATACAGGTTTAAGCTTGACTCCCAGCCTTCATAGGAAAAAAGTACAGACATGCTGATGTTGGAAAACATGACTTTTTTTCATTCACTATAAATGCAAAGCTATTTCATTCTTCATTTTTCTGTTTAATAATGCTGAAGTGTACAAATAATATGGTACCTCAAAGATTTCTGAAGATGCTTGAAGTATTGGGTTGCCAGTCCCTGTTTTATCCCACCTCATTGGATGTAAATACACTATCTGTGCAAACAGGGTTATTTTTGTTTTCCTCAGTATATACACATTGATGTTCATTTTATCTGATGCAGGAGGCATTAAAAGAAAACAACAAAAGAAGAGAATTGGAGGAGAAAACGAAGAGAGCCAAACTGGCGAAGGAGAAGGCTGAGCGAGAGAGGCTGGAGCGACAGAAGAAGAAGCAGCAGTTGATTGATATGAACAAAGGTAAGGAATCCTTCTTGACAGAGAAGTTTGTTAATGTTAAAACAAAGTCAACAGTCACAAACCGAAGGCTATTTCTGATCAGTGTAAGAAATACTTGCTGAAAGTTTGGAAAGCTGAAAAAAAAGTCAACTTTTTCAAAAGTGAAAATTCAGTTTTGTTTCAGCCTACCTGATCCTGTAATTCCATATCTGTCACTTATTATGTGTCATGTTCCTTTCAAGGTGTTTTGCTGTGGATTATTGGCTTTTTTTCATTTGTAGCAGTTAATTGATTTTTTTTTCATATGGATTTACTTCCAAGAAGGAGGATCTTATGGCTTTGTTGTTCATTTCATTCTGTAAACAACTCTATAATCAAGGTATTGTGGCAGCTAATGTCTTTCTTTTTGGGCTTGGGGGCTCTGTGTTATAATGTATGTTCTCCCAGTAGTCCTATTAGGAGCTGGGAAATGTGGTTGAGCTTGGAATCTAAGTACAGAGTGACATTTCAGCATGATAAAAACCAATGTATTTATTAAACTTGTCAGCTGTGAGAATATTGTATTTCGCATGGGGCCACCCTACGAGAGGAGAAAGTGAAGAAGGAATGGAATGGGCTTGATGTTGAAGCTGTGCATATTTTCAGAAGGTTGTAAAACACAGGCTTTGTTCTTTACCTGTCTGACTCCAGAAGCTGAGTAGAGGTGGTAAAACTTGCATTTGTATAAGAGATTACTTGCAGGTTTTTGTTCAGTTTCTGTGAGTTGGCTAATCTGACCCAGCTATAAAACACTTCTCTTTGTTATCCACTTAACAGGCCCATACTCATGGAAAAATGCTGTTTGGTTTTTGGAGGGTTTCTGCAATGGCACCACAAATCCTGTTATTTTTGGCCTTGCTTGAACTGACAGTGACACTGCATGCAGTATACTTTGGGATAAGTTTTAATGAATTACTCCATTGTTTTATAGAGATTACAAACTTTAATATCAGAGCATATAAAGATTAGTCCGATTTCAGTTTAACTGTAAACAAAATATAAAATTTAAATGCAGGCATAAACACACTGTCTTTATGTTGTGAAGTCAAGCTTGTGGAGATTTCTAATGAGACTTTTCCAATCCATTCTGTGGGCATTTGACTAGTGGTTAATATCTGTCACCTCACCTGCCAAAAAAAAGAGTCTTTAGTGATATGGAGTTACCCTTTTCTGTGAGTGGGATAAGAAACACCTAAATATCCCCTCATCACCCTTCCCTCTGCCAGTGTGCTTGAAGACACTCAGAGAGGCTATTTAAACTACCGCTTACGACATCATAAGACAAAATGTTTTATTAGCTTTTACCAAGTGTGAAAAGCCCACTTAGGTTTTGTTGTCAGTGAACTGGTCTGTGTTTAAGGGCTGTAGCTCTCGCTTTGAAGTTACAGCTTGTTAAATTGCCTCAGCTCAGTAGATGAGAACATACCTGTCTGTCTCCATCCCTTAACTTTTTAAGCAGGTGAGGAGCAGACCACAGCTGCCAGTGGCATAGATGTCTCAGTACACTGACAGCATTTTTTCACCATGAAAGACTTTTATTATCAACAGATAAAACCAAAGTTTAATTTTGCATTATAGCCTCATTCACTGAAAATGCAAATATGTGAATAACTGTACAAGGCCCAATGCACTGAAACTACCATTTAAATAACTGATGATTCTAAACTTGTGACACAAAATTAGAAAATTAGTTTAATACTTCTCATTTTTTTACCCAATTTCTAAATATATTGAATTAGCCATTTCACATAGTACAACTCTAGTGCCATGGTAGGAGGAGGGGGATACGTCCATCCCCACTGAATTCTATGGCATTGATATTCAATTGACTGTTTTTGCCAAGTAACTAATTTTTTTCTCAATGCATCTACTTCTGTGTGCTCATTCCTGCTTATATAAATAGGTTGTAAATTTGTCTAAGTGAATGTGACACAGAAGACTGAGAGGAAGGAGGCAGATGTCCTCTCAAGCTGTCATTTTGACAAGGTGATTTTCACCCAAAGGGGTGTTTTAACCTAACCCTCTTTCATCTATTTCTCTAACTGTGTCTTCAAGAATAACATTTTAACATATTGCTACAGCCTTTGAGGTCAGAGCAATAGGGTTCCTACATTTTCCAGCCTTTTAGTGTGTAGTTCTGTAACAAGTTTTTTTCTTTTTTTTTTATTACCTGGACATTCAGTGACAACTTTTTTTGAGCCCCTGGAGAATCCAGATTAGATTAGTTATAATTAAATGTTAGAATTAATATCAGCTTCTTGATGTAACTGTAAAAACTTGAGTGTGACCAGAATTAAGAAGTGCCCTGAATAATACCTACTGATGAAGTAACCCCAGAGCTGCCACAATTTTGAAGACTGGTTTACTTAGGTTGGTGGTTTTGTGCTTTGTGTAGTTGAGATGCCACATGAATACTACATGTAAACTGATATAAAACCTGCTAAATATTCCAAAATAAGTAAAGATGAATGTAAAAATCTTGAAAAACTCTGTAAAAATTACAATTCAAAAAAATTATCGAAATTGTTAGCATTAGGTGAGTTTCGCCAAGAGAAGTAAATTGTTACATTTTCATAATATTCTACTTACTTGAATTAATGTTTTTAGAATAAATTTTAAACTACATAAATATATATTGATTTAAAGCTACCCCTTAAAATAATTTATCATGACACCTGTTGCTTAATGTTATAAATTCCATTTTAAAAATTTTTACTATTAATGCACGTTTCCTGTTATGTTGTACCTGAACCTCTCTCCCTGTGAGCTGTGGTGCAGTCAAAACCAGAGCAAGACATTCTAGCACCTGTTGGACTCTGTTCTGCTGTGGGTGCAGCTCCCCCTCCTCAAGTGTAGCTGTAGGGCTTGGGAATATTTGGTGTTCTTTCCAGTCTGCTTTAACTGATACATCTTTGTTATATTTCCCAGACTGGTAAAGTACTTACGTGTGCCAGGTTTCCTGGTGAAGCACTGAAGGCATAGAAAGATTTAAGTGCCTTACCCACACTCCTTAAGTTTTACAGTTGAAATCATGAACTGTTCTTTCTCATTGTGGGAGATGAATTCTGAGGAGAAGTCCTTCATGACTTCTGTCTGATTTAACATCTGCAAAATCGTTGCAGCCTTGCTTCCCTGTGCATATCTGAACCACAGAGAGAAAAGAAGAACTGGGGAGGGCTTTCTGGGAGCTGAAAAGTGTCAAACAGCAATTCTGATGCAAATGTTATTTAATCAGAAACAGTTTTGCTCTTCATTATATCTGATTACTATGGCAATTAAAATCACCTTTTAACTACCAATATTCAGATAAAAGATAGAATGAGCTTCCTCAGTCCCAATTAGTATTGAATTAATTGTTTTGAAGACATATTAACATTCTTTCCTAATGAGATGAAGATAATGGAAGTGAAGTTCTGTGCTAGTGGTTGATGGATATTCCTACTTTCCCTTTTCAGGTGCCCTTATATAAGAATTCATATGCTATTTATTCAGACTGGTATGTTCCAGTATGAGCAGTAATTCTGCTGGGTTTCCTTCAAGTGCAGGATATAATTCCAGAGGTTACTTTTGCTACACTTTTCTAAAGATTCTGTGCTTTTCTGCTTGGTTTGTCTTCCTTCCAAGTCCTTTAGCATAAACAGAAATCCATACTAAGTTTATTACGAGTTACATATTAGTTTGCAAGTGTCTCAGCCTTGATCATTTGGATTTACATATTGGCTGATGGTTGCATGGGATACCTCGTGTGGTAAAACTTGGAGCTTATTTACATTTTAATTATTATTAGGCAAGTGTTACAATGCCTTTGGGAAGTCACTGTTTTTCATATTGATATCAATGGTCTGTTTGAATATGCTGCACATTTCCTGAAATCTAATGCTGACAGAAAAACTTGGGTAGAACTTGATTACAGGGATCGTTCCTTATCCTTAGGTATCACGTGGTTGTTTCTCTTTTTTTGAGCTGCACAATCTTTCCCTTCCCACATAGAGGCAATCTCTTCCCATTTTTTACTCCGTAATCCACGTTGCAGTCTATTTTAAGTGTAGTGCAAGTCATCCTAGTGAGGGGCAGCAGCCTGTGCCCCAGGGATGATGCAGATGAGTTTCAATTAAGCCCGTTCATGCCAAAGCAGACCTCGACCACCCAGATATTCTCTGAAAATGACAATGTGTGTGCATTTCAAAAATTGTTTTCAATAACCTGCCAGTACAACAAAGCGTGTTTTTTTTTCTTTCTATTAACTTCACATAAGCCTGAGATCAGGTTATCATAAACAATATGCTTAATTGGTCTGTAAGCAAGGATTTGCCTTGTTTTTTGCAAAGTGATGTGAGATAGAGGTTCACTTATCAGTCATACTGTCCTAACTTCTTTTTTAATTAAGAAGTAAATAAGAGTCATGAGACACCACTCTAGTGCAAACTGCCGAGGAAGACTGCTTCCTGGAGATATTTATTATGCATGCAAAATGAATTTAGCAAATGAATAAAATGCAAATATATGAGGTGAACACAAAAACACGCTTTCTGGAAAGACACTGAAAGCTGACCTTTTTAAATGAATATATTGCAATTAAAAATTCTGGTACTGCCTATGAATAAAAAGTCTTGTTTAAAAGTTTCCACAGGACATACTTGAGACTTTGAAAAGTGCTTAAAAGTTTAAAGCAAAACAGGGTGGTGCAAGGTGTGAATAGAACCATAATTTTGAAACTCTTTGGAGAAGCAGTCAGGCAGACAGTGTGTGTTACTTAACATGATGTTTGACTGGACTCTTTCAGTAAAGGCACAAATTTATGAAAAATATCCTGTAAAGTTCCTGTAAACTTTTGCCCAAATAGCTGTGCAATACTGACACTTTCTATTAGCTTAGATTGGTTCACAATTAGTATATCTATAATAATTAGTAGATGATGTTTTACAAGTGCATATGGAAAAATACTAAAAAATAAAAGTGCACCAGCAAAATATATCGATATT